TTTAGCTATATACAAACCCTAAAATCGAAACAGGGTAGGAATCCAAATTCAGCCCAGTAACCCGCTTATCAGTCGACCGATGCTTCCCATCGGTCGACCGATAGGTCTCCATCAATCGACCGATAGGTGAGATCGGTCGACTGACTAGAGCGCTTGTTTCTGACCCTGTAGTGTGCACGTTTATCGGTCGACTAATATTGTTCATCAGTCAACCAACCAGAGCCAGTTTGCCAGTTTTGTTTGCCAGTTTTGTTATTTCCTGATTTTCGTCGTTTTCCATTCACCGTTTCTATTCTCAAGCTACTATGAGAATCATCTATCCTCAAACTCCCATGAGGATCGCTAAGTTCCCGAAACAGAGAAGATGCACTCGTTTACTAAGTAGAGCACCGAGGATATGTTTCACCAAGAGCTGGTACTGACATCCATATAATTATAATCAAGTGCACTGTAGAAAGTACATGCTTGAATAAAACTACAGATATTGCCAAAAGCTTATCATCTACCAAAACTTGAAGCACCAAGTTGACATGGCCAATAAATACATGATTACAACAGAAGGTTTTAGTAGTAAAATTCTTCAAGGTACTCCAGAGTCCAGGGTTTTATCGACGATGGAAAGTTTATTCTCTTCACAGTTATAAAGCCCGTAAATTCTGAAATCTATCTGATAAAAGGAACACAAGTCACGCTTGAACAAGAAAGAGCAGAAAGAAACGAAACCTGATCATTATATTGTCTTTGGTCAATTGCTCCAACTGTAAGGAAAATAAGGATTTCCACGAGTGGAGTTCTTCAATTTCTTTAACCTAAATTAAGCAAAGAAGTGAAAAAGATGAGATATTGCCTACAAGGATAGCCAAATACTGAAGAGAAAAGAAGCATAATCTAATAGAACAGAGATTTTTCTTACAAAGATGTTCTTGTTGTCCTGAAGATTCTTTATTTCTAATCTGATATTTTCCAAGACTATATCCTTATTAGACATATCAGTATCAAAATCACTCAAGATATGTGCATATCTGTTATTCAGTTCCTCCAGGTACCTCTCCAAAACAGAGAAATTCAAGTCAAGAGACTGCACCTTCTGCAGCAGTATCTTCAGAACAGCGTCCCCAGGCATTCTTCCAACCTGTGGTGATCTGATCTCTAAAACCGGATCAGACACGATAGTCTTTTGAATCTCCTTTTTTGACTTTGAGCTTTCATGTGGAAGTTCGTTATTGACCTCCGTAAAAGAATCCTGATAGATATCATCTCCATTACTAGGTTCTTGTAGCAGCTTCCTCCCGTTGCTTTGTTCTATTGTTTCTGACCGTTTGGTCTCAACTGAGATTAGATCCTCAAGCATCCTTTCGACAGCATCCACTCCATATACCTCAACGACACTCAATGTACAATAGAATTCTGAACCATAATGACTCACCATATTCAGTTTCAGGTATCTTGCCCACTTAGGCTCAGAAAGAGAGAACCTTTGTGCATGCTTCACATTTTGAGCCGTGAAATTCCCAAGTTTAACCCAACTATTTGTTGGATAAATTAAACTGCTGTATAGTTCAAAATCTTTTAAGTTGGAAGAGTAGTGTTCGAAGTTCCCAATCTCAATTGTATCCACTAAAGTTTCCTCTGAAAGTTCTACAATGACATACTTATCCTCTACTGAGCATGGATTGCGAAGATACTTGTCCTCGTCTTTATCTAAGATGCCAGAAGCACCCTTAGCCTCCTTGTTTGAATCTAGAACCTTAGCACCTTTCTTACAATCGATGAACAACAGTACTTGTTTGGCTGGATAGAGGCTTTTCTATAACAGCAATTGTTTTGCTTTTAAACTCATCAAGACCCCGAGGAGCAACACGAGATAACTTTTCACTCTTCATAGGAGTTTCGCTTTCCTGAATGGAACTTGAATCAAATATTTCTTTAGCTGCTTCAGCCTTTACAAAAGTCAATGAACTTCCTTTACCATTTTCTGAAGCAAACATTGCAGTACTATGGCCAAAAATCTTCCCTTCTGGAATAGTATTCTGAACAGTGTGATCAGGAATCATGCAGGATAGTGTGGAAGTCTCTCTAGAGTCAGATGAGTTAATTGGATTTGGTTGAGTTTCATGGCAAGATTCACCACCCCCAGCTTCAGTTTCATCTGTGCACATCATGAACAAAATGTGTCAGGATAACCATAACAAAAAGCAGAAAGAAGGGACGAAAGGAGAAAATAAGACAAAAATAAAAACAACTAAATACACTATCAACACCTAAAATCTACTTTTCTTATCCATCTTCTGCAATCTTCTCGACACACTATCACTTTAGTGCATATCCAAGTTTTCGACTGAAAACTGTATGCAATAAAAACTTACCATGAATTAAGTAAAATCACCAAAAAAGATTAACCATTAAAAATTGGATAGAAGACATTTAAATATAACCGAGTTATCTATGTCAAACAAAAAAAAAGTGTGATATGAAAATTAACAGCCCAGTGTCAATTAGCAAAGAAAACAAAAACAAGAATCCTAATCAAATAACCGTACCTTCTGCTGCTCGCACAATTTGCAAGTATGTGCTGCAGCATGAATAGAAACATAATTACACAGTGAAAGCGATAAAGAGAAGCATTCTAGAATCTATTCTCTCAGATACTTAGATAATGGAGATTATCCAACAATGAAAAGGAAATAGTCCAGTAGAAAGATATCAAGAACTCTAACTTCAGTAATCTATTCGACGTATTACCATCTGTTATGGATTTGCACTGGAAAGGAAAGGATAGGGAAACAGAGAAAGGGAGGTTGAGCTGATAACTTCAGCTGCCATTTTGTTTTGTTTTGTTTTGTTTTTTTTAATGTAAAACCAATAGGCTTAAATTAAATCAGAAAAACTAATGCCCGTGAAAGAGAGTACCTTTGAAGTCATGGGCATGGCTGGTCAAGAAGTTCAGAAGAAAGATGAATGCCCACAAAAATAAAACAAGAGACAGAGAAATTTTGTATGTCAGATGTTTTCTACAGCAACTTCCTTTCTTCTCTAATGCAGTAGCTCTTCCTTGCAGAAGAGCTCCCCGTGACCCCTGCATTGCTCATTAATTCAACTCACATCTGCATAGCGCAGACCCATTAATCAGTTATGAGAAATAAACAAATAAGCAGATAAATAAATATGTCTAAACAATGGAGAAATAAATCAAAATTAATAACTTTTTCAAGAAGCTGACGCGCTGATCTGTAATGTATAACTTAGTGATGGTTGCTATGCTGTTTCAATTCAATGTCCGCTGGAAACTTTTCGTTGTTGCTGCTAAGCATAGAATCTTATTACAAGGCTGGCTGGCTGGCTGGCTGTTTGAGCTAAACAAGCTGAACAAGCTCAATTTTAGGATGTTCATGTTCGTTCAATTATTTTCATGAGCTTAAATTTTTTTTCAAGCTTGGTTCATTTAGGTAATCAAACGAGCCCGAGCAAGCTCTCAACAAGCTTGAGCTGAGACTTGAGCTTCTCTAGCCCCACATGCGTTCCAGTCAAATCGTACAAATATGATTACAAAGGTGTAGAAATAATAAAAAGCATTGAATCTTTTACAACTGAAAAATTAAAACTTAAGGAAATAATGACACTCGCAGCAGTCTTGGGATCTGTAACCAAACATATATTTGTTTTTCTTGCAACTTAACAATAAGGACAAATTTTAGCCTCAAGAATAGCAACCTCTCATTTTATTGACAGGTATATACATGTTACTAAAATTTCATATTCGATGTGCATATAGTTTATAAATCTCCAGTGATGTCAATAGCAAAAGAACCACATAGAACTTTAAAATGAGAAATATAGTAGAAAATTGACAAGGTATTTCTATCTGTTAGGTATAGGTTTTTATCCAGCATGAATTTATCCAGAATGAGTTGGTCTGACCAGATTGAAACTAAAATTAATATGAAGCTAACTTAAACAAACTAATTCAAACCCAAATCCAACTCATTTACCTTTTGGACAATCTCGAAGCCAACCCTTTACGAGCCAGTAATGCGTCAAGCTTGAACATGAGGCAAATCGAGTCTAGTTTTGCTCAAGCTTGTTCATTTTTTTAGTGAAACTTTGTATTTTATTCAAGCACGAGCTGAATGAGTCTACTTATCAAGCCGAGTATCGATCCAACTTGCAAACCTACAAATAATCTTACAAAGTATTAACTATGTATAAATAGGTGAATTTTCAAGTTCATTATTTTGATTTAACGCGAAAAATTTATTTGTAGTTTCCTTAACTATTTTCCATAGTAGAACTAATCGGGTTGGGTTGCACCTGAAATGCTAACTCCATAAGACCAAAACATACCATAGCTTGAAATATAATGCTGTTCTTTTTAACCAGAAACTAATTATTGTACTAGACTTGTTATTAAATTTAACCATTAGAGTTTGAATCAATTACAAACCCAATTAAATTGATTGGAGCCTGAGAACGAATTTCAATCTCAGTTATAAAGTCTTAACAAGAAAGCCAGGGTTAAACCCGAGCCACCTCTAGCCTATACTGGCTATTACTGAGCTAAGCTTAAACATGAACAACAAAGAGTGACTATATTCAAGCTTGTTCATTTATCTCAAAGATTTAAAGTTTGGTTCTTTTAGGCTATTGAACAAGCTTGGACAAGCTTTGTATCAAGCAAAGGCTCAAGCTTTTCTAGTCTATTAGCATCTCCATATATAATTATAATATATCTCCGCTATATAGTGAAAACTTCCCGGATAGTTGTGATGACATGGATCAACATCATGTTCACCTGGCATTCCCTATCAAATCTTAACCATCCATTTAAAAGAATTAATCGTGCAGTTTTATCTATAAAATCCTAGCCATTCATTTTGAATTACCTTATAATTTAGTCATCTCATATAAGGTGATTTCAGTGTGCGCCTAACAAACTCAATTGGAAGTGTAACTACAATTAGGTACTTGCTTAGTATTCTTAAAAGGATGAGGATGATTAAAATATCTATTAATAGCAAAAATACTTGCACACTCATTTGAAATGTACATTTCTCAATGTTTTTCGCATGGTTAGCTTAAACATTTCATCTGATGGACGTGAATGGCAAGTGCCGGTGTCAACTATATACATATATGCATAACCACGGTCCTAAAGACTCCTTACAGTTTTTCGGCTACAACTTGCTGCCAATATATAAATGCAACATCAACTCAAACATGAAATGTGCTACATACGGTTGTAACGCCACTAACAACATCACTCAAGTTGTTGTAAGCCCAACGATGTAGTTTCAAAAAGGGTTGATTACAAAAAAAAAAAAAAAACTGAACTTTGGTGAGTTGCAATAAACCCCCTCAGCTTTTTTATTACACTAAAACCTCCTTGAACTTTAGAGGCTATTGCACATAACCCGCTAAACATTTTTGTTCTACAAAGTTCACATGGAAATTTCTCATTTAATCTCCAAATCAGCATCACTGATTGCAACATCTCATGTGGCAAGCATGTGCCAAAAAAGATGAAAATAATCCCTTAGTCCCAAAAAACTACCTATTTTCCTTCTTAATAAAAGGGTATTTTTTGGGGGACTAAGAACAAATTTTTCGTCATCTTTTTTGTCATGGTCATCTTTTTTGTCATGGGCTTACCCGATGACACGTTAGAGATTAATGGTGTTAGTATGGGGATCAAAATATAAATTTTCAGGTAAAATTTAGTGCAATAAAAAAGTTCTTTGGGGGTTATGAGAAATAACTCCTAAAGTTTGGGGGATTTAGTGGAATAAAAAAAAGTAGAGGGGGTTTATTCACTTTATTGCAACCCCGCAACAGTTCCGGGAGTCTGTAATTAACCCGTTTCAAGAACCTAGAAACCTGTATAATGACATAACTCATGTAGTCATGTCGTTCAACATCAACTGAACTTAAATCCGAGCAAGAAGCGAGGGGCTGGGCAGCGAACTGAATAGAACATCAACATGTTTGCGCTATCCTTCGGTTTGATTGCCCGAACTAAAACAATTTATTCTAATTTTGATACAAATCGTGAATGCAAGTAGTAAATTCAATCAAACTCAAAACATAATAATAAGTAATAATAATAATAAGTTCTGAGGAGCGGTTAATTGTCAACGAACACAGAAGGAAAACAAAAATTGTGCGTCAGACTGCAAACGGAGAACCTGCAACGGATCAGATGACATCGATTAAATTGAGAAGGAAGAGGAACTTGTTACCGAGGAGATTTTGAAGAAATCCTTTGAGATTTCCGAAGACTCGCTTGAGATCCGATGATCTCGCGAAGGTCGGGAAAGGGGATCGCTAGGGTTTCATGGAGGTGGAATGGATTCTTTTGAGATCGAGCGCAGATCGCAAGGGGTTTCCAAAGTTTCGAGGGACCCGATGGGATCGGGATCGAGATCGAGATCGAGAGAGAGGAAAAGGACAAATTTTCAAAACCACCCTATTTGCACATTTAATGCCAAAAAACAACCCCTTTCAACTTTATTTGCAAAAACCGACCTGGTTTCAGCCCTGGCGCTGAAACCAGGTCGGTTTTTGTAAATAAAGTTCCCAAACTTCACGGGACTTGAAGTCCCGTGAAGTTTAGCAGTCATTTTGTTAGGCTGCTAAACTTCACGGGACTTCAAGTCCCGTGAAGTTTCGAAGTTAATAAAATCTTCACGGGACTTCAAGTCCCGTGAAGCTGAAATAGTTATTCTCACATGTCTGTGCGTTGGTACTGGGCTTTCACCAACAAATAATACCCATGATCAAAAGACTGTGAAACTAACGTCAATTAGTCAAGATTAATCGTAAAAATCAAATTTTAGGATCTGGGTTTGGCTCAAAATCGAGGAGGCTGATGGGGTTGGAGATGGAGGGGAGTTGGGTGAGGAGTTGAGCTTGTTGGTATTGATTTGGGTTGATGATGGGATGTAGTAATCCCTGCCTCCTTCTTCTAGAACTCTCTGAAGGAGCTCGTTCTCCATTATTTGGACCCAAATCGAGGAGGCTGATGGGGTTGGAGATGGAGGGAAGTTGGGTGAGGAGTTGAGCTTCTTGGTATTGATTTGGGTTGATGATGGGATGTAGTAATCCCTGCCTCCTTCTTCTCCATTATTTGGGCCTAAAATTCTTAACTTTGGTGTTCTGAGGTTTCCATTTGTCCGTGCGAAGCTGAAATAGAATTTGCCTGTGAGTTACAGACTTCACGAGAGTTGAACTCCCGTGAAGTTTGTTCAGGCAGTAAAACTTCACGTGAGTTCAACTCCCGTGAAGTTTGTTTAAGAAATTAAACGAAGTTTAAAAATCTGCTAAACTTCACGGGAGTTCAACTCCCGTGAAGTTTCAAATTTTTTTTTTAAAAACCGACCTGGTTTCAGCGCTGAGGCTGAAACCAGGTCGGTTTCTCTAAATAAAATAGAAACGGGTCGTTTTTTGCAATTAAATCATGAAAAGGGTTGGTTTTGAAAATTTGTCCGAGAGGAAAATAATGTGCGAAACGCAAAAGAGGGTTGAAACTGTTATTAAATCTTGCAATACGCACCGTCACTAGTGGAAAAGTGCTAAAAAACGGTTTGAAAAGGGTTATAAGTGAAGTTCGACTCTTTTTTATGTGCCTGATTTAATTAACAAAGGAAATAATAAATATTTTCTTTATTAATTTAAATATAAATATAAATACCAACCCTTTGCCTCCGAGTTAAAAATACCAGATGAGGTTTTTGCCTGGGAAATGTGAAATTTTACATAGAGATTAGAGCATCTCCAACAGCTTCCCCAAAAATTTCTCCAAAATGGAGAAACAAAAGTCATATTCTCCAAATTATTTTTGCTCCAACTCCAACAGCTTCCCCATTTTGAAAAATCGCATTTATTACAATAATAAAGCTCTCCCCAAAAATTTGGAGAATGCTGCAGATTTGGGGAAGGCTCCCTATTTTTTCTCCTCCTTCCCTATTTTGGGGAATGAGATGAGGAATCTGTTGGACCAAAAAAAAGCTCTATATTCTCCAAATTTGAGTATTTCAAGAAGATGGGGAAGCTGTTGGAGATGCTCTTAAGAATGCAATTTAAATGGTTAAATCATCAAAGTCCAACAATAAATTCGAGAAATATAACTTAGAAGTTAGCGTTATTGGAAATGTCATCCGGATGCAGCTCGGATATGATGCTTACAATATTCATATTCGCTTACCCATCTCGGATACAGATGCAGATATATCTCGGTAAAGAAAATTTATAACCATATCCGCTAAAATCGGATACGATTACGGATATACATGCGAATATATAAACGGATACAGATATGAGAAAACTAGATATTATTGAGAAAAACATAGTTTATGTGATGCAAAAGAGTTCGTTAATATATCTATTATAAATGAAAACTTAAGATTAGACACATTGATCATCAAAATTAACTGTAAATCCATAATCTAAGAATCGAAACTATCGTAAGAGTATGACTAATATGTATTCGGATATTTCGGATATGGATACGGATACAAATATTTCACTACAAAATCATATTCATAACCATATCCTATCGGTTATAGATTTTAATAACCATATTCGTATCCTAACGGATACGGTTACGGATATTTTCTCGGATGCGGATACGGTTTAGCACCCGTAAGTACTCATATTTCTTAAGATAAACTCACATGCTAAGGGCCCGTTTGGATAATAGAAGTATTGGAAGTAAGAAATAGATTAGGGAAGTAACTTCCAAAACTATGAAGTAGGAAGTAGCGGAAATAGTATTTTTTTTGTTTGTTTTATTTATTTTTAGAAGTAATGGAAGTAGAACTTCTTCCTCTTCATTTACTTTTTTTGTTTGGATAATATTTGGAAATATTACTAGGAAGTAATTAATACATGTTGTTTCTATTTTATTCTTGTTTGGATTGTCATTGAAATTGAAATAGAAATAGAAATGAAAGTATTATAACACACCACATGCCTCAAGCATTGCTGTGCTTAAAAGTTAGAACGCTCACATCACGAGTTGAAGAAAAAGAAAACGATGGAGGAATGGATAAAGCACAGACACATACACAAACTAAACAAATGGAAAAGGAAACAACGTATATTCTTTCTGGTTTTTCAGGTCATTTATATAGGCATGGTAATATTTGTGACTAATTTTCCAAACTGCAGTTGTTAGCGTGGGGGCAGCATTATTCCTATTTCAGCAACTAGGTGGTATAAATGATGTGGTATATTACACTACATCAATATTTTTCCTTACTAGAAGCTCTCCCAATAGAGCAACGGTATCATCGCGCTTATACCATAGTAGAAGCATTTCATTCTGATATTTTTTTAATGGGTTTATTTAGTTTATCTATTCAGAGAATTATCAAAGAAATATTTTCCTTTTCTCTTGCAGGTAGAATGAACACAGAAGCTTTTGTGCAATGGATCGAAACTCTACAGCACCAGCTGAGTTTCCGGGAGAGTATTCTTATGATATATTGCCAAACTCAAGGGGTAAGAGAATGCTTTGGTAACCAATGTGACAGTATCATCCAAGAACTCGAGGTCCTTAAGCAGAGTACTCTAAGTGCTCCAACAAGAAGAGATCACCAAGTACCACCAATCCTTGATTGAAGTTGTATCTCAAAGGACGAAGTACATTTTAGTACCTTTTATCAAACGCAATCCCTTTGGAGGAGGCATAGATAATGCATCCCTCAAAACTGTAAAGTCATTAGCGGACCCTTCCCATCCAGCCATGACATAACAAAATAGCTTATTAGGTGTAACAACTCCAAGCACATTTTGTGTGGGACCATCTTTACGACCATGAAATCGAGCAACTATATTATCAGGGACAGACGCAGCAATGTGTGTTCCATCAATCATACCAATACAGTTCTGACCATTTAAACAAATGAAACATATAAATCCACCATTTTATATTACATATTACCTTAAGAAGTATAGATATAAATGATTGAAAAATAATCCACTTTACCTCAAACCAAGGGTACCAAGTTGATCTACAACGAATCTCATCGGATACCTCACCACTCGCTTGCTTCATTAGTAATGGTCTCAGTTTTAATATTGCCACGAGGACTTCATTGAAGTACCTACTAATAGTTTCGCCTGAACGTACGAAGTTTATACCAACAACCCTATTTTTTGCATTATGCCCTACTATGTGTAAAAACATAGCAACTTGCTCCTCGATGGAAACATATATGGTATCTTTAAGAAGTCTAGACTTTCGTAACATGCGAACAAGGTTAAAAAATGGACCTCTATCCATTCTTAAGTAGTCATATGTAAATGTTCTGCCGCCATAGAACAACCGGTAGATATAAGCATTTCTCAATGAATCTCTCAACTCGGTTGGTTCCCTAGGAGTTACTTCTCTTTTATTCTCAAACAACATAAAGTAAGCACACACTATACACGCCACATATGCAGCAAAGCAACTTAGTGTAGCATCTCTAGCTTTTGAAGGTTCCATATTCTACATAAAACAAATAAAACAATGTTATAAAATCAAAAAAGTCAGCGCATATGGTTATTATAAAAATTCGCCAATTTATTTCTCACTTCAACAAAAATAAATATGATTCTCACATCCTAGTTACACTGGCATAGAACTCTTTGTAGTCAAGTTAAAGCCTATTGAGAAGGTCCCGATTTGCTTTTGGAAGCAAGAGAAGACTTTGCCTACCTTAATAATTTGATTCTTCTTACTATTTGCTTTATAATAGTATGACTATATTAAGCCGCTGTTGTCTTTAACTGGTGGAATGCTTTTAAAAGGATGCAAATGAGAAAATGGATGCCTGTTACAATGTCAGTATGTTGGAGTTTTTTATGTGAAAGCAATCGTAGCATTTGCTTTCCGAACCTGATGAAGGCGAGCTCAGCAAGCCCGATATGGCTTGTAGAGAATTGGGATTCTTCCAGGTATATGAGACGTGTGGTATAGTCCTCAGTACATGCGAGGCTTTGACCACTTGTTACTTCTAATCTCTCTAATCCTAAATGAAGTTATCTCCTTGCTATATGTTTCTGTATTATATAAGTGTACGTTCCACACATGTAACTATAAGAGAATAGAGGATATCTCGGTAACACCTCAAATTTCAAATGATCTGTCTGAAACTTGCATGACATCCAAATGGCAGATACAAATAACAAAAAGATAACTATGTTTTTGAAAGTGATAATAAAAAGGAGGTAATATGTGTCCTATAGTACAGGGGACAGATATGTGATTAGTCCTAGCGTTTATGCTTCCAAATTCGACCTTGCTCTTCCATAAATCAAATAGTACGCTGACAACATGAAGATTTACACAAGACAAAACCCATTGCTAAAAGCTATCAATAAGTCTTGATAATGTCAATTCAACATTGTAGCTAATCAATCATGGAATATCACCAGAGGTGCTTCAAAAACTGAAGATTGTTGTATCCAAATTTTTTGAACTTCCATTTGAGCAGAAGAAGAAATATTCGATGGCAACCTATTCGATGACATTCAAGGGTACGGGCAACTATATGTAGTTTCTGAACAACAAAAGCTAGGTTAGGCAGATGTATTTGCTCTGCTAATATATCCTATGAAGTTCTGAAATATGAGTTACTGGCACTCGGAACTGAATTCATTTGTGTAAGTCCTTTTCTCTCTTAAGTCAAGACAAAAACCAGACACCATTGTCATTGCAAAAAACATCTCCGAGTTCACGAGTAAAACTATAAAATTAGACATACATATATTGAAGCTCATCATAAAAAAGAATATATCAATAAAGAAATGTCATAGATACACAAAATTTGGTTTCCAATAAGCTTGATAATAGGAAAAACAAAAAAACAAACTTGTTCGCTTAATGATCTAGCATATATTGGTGGTATCAATTAAAACAATACAAAACACAAATACTAATCACCTAATCCAATTTCCACCTCATTCCCTTCCTTATATCGAGCGCAATATTCTATCCACATAGACTTTGCTATTTCATCTCTTTTCTTTAACCAAATAGCTTGTGCTTCTTTCTGTTCCCTTTTGCTTAAATTGAGCATGCTAACGTCAGATTCTTCATTAGCAATTTCACTCTCTCTTTCATCAAAAACTACATCTTCTGTTATGTAACGATCATCTGGATCAACTATCATTATATAATTATGTAGAATGCAACATGCAATAACAATCTTGACCTGTGTTTGAAATGGAAAATCAGGCCTACATGTTAGAATTTTAAAACGATTTTTCAAAATTCCAAATGCGCTCTCTATCTTTGATCGAAGTGATGAGTGACGAAGATTAAAAAGCTCTCGATGGTTCAATGGTTCTCTACCGTCTTGCTCTTTAAGATGGTAGCGCACGCCACGATAAGGTGCAATAAAACCGGGCATTGTCGTATATCCAGCATCGCAGAGATAATATTTATCTACAATATTAACATGAAACCAAATTATTAACAAATCCTTTTAAACTAATAAAATAGTTTATTAGTTTAGTTCACATTTTATTACCTTTTATCAAACGCAATCCCTTTGGAGGAGGCATAGATAATGCATCCCTCAAAACTGTAAAGTCATTAGCGGACCCTTCCCATCCAGCCATGACATAACAAAATAGCTTATTAGGTGTAACAACTCCAAGCACATTTTGTGTGGGACCATCTTTACGACCATGAAATCGAGCAACTATATTATCAGGGACAGACGCAGCAATGTGTGTTCCATCAATCATACCAATACAGTTCTGACCATTTAAACAAATGAAACATATAAATCCACCATTTTATATTACATATTACCTTAAGAAGTATAGATATAAATGATTGAAAAATAATCCACATTACCTCAAACCAAGGGTACCAAGTTGATCTACAACGAATCTCATCGGATACCTCACCACTCGCTTGCTTCATTAGTAATGGTCTTAGTTTTAATATTGCCACGAGGACTGCATTGAAGTACCTACTAATAGTTTCGCCTGAACGTACGAAGTTTATACCAACAACCCTATTTTTTGCATTATGCCCTACTATGTGTAAAAACATAGCAACTTGCTCCTCGATGGAAACATATATGGTATCTTTAAGAAGTCTAGACTTTCGTAACATGCGAACAAGGTTAAAAAATGGACCTCTATCCATTCTTAAGTAGTCATATGTAAATGTTCTGCCGCCATAGAACAACCGGTAGATATAAGCATTTCTCAATGAATCTCTCAACTCGGTTGGTTCCCTAGGAGTTACTTCTCTTTTATTCTCAAACAACATAAAGTAAGCACACACTATACACACCACATATGCAGCAAAGCAACTTAGTGTAGCATCTCTAGCTTTTGAAGGTTCCATATTCTACATAAAACAAATAAAACAATGTTATAAAATTTAAAAAATTAGCGCACGTGGTTATTATAAAAATTCGCCAATTTATTTCTCACATCAACAAAAAATTAGCTTGTGGTTGTTCCCTTGTGGTCAAGTAGTCAAGGGTTGTAATTACCATTAACCTTTCTTTAGCTCTGTAGAAACCTTGTCAAAACCCTTTTATAGAATACTCCTTACCCTCCAGTAATTTGGGTGCTGCTAGCTAGGTTTTTATTAATGTTATGCAGCTGAAGTGATATAGCCAACAGAGTCATGTATTAGTTTTATGCGAAATCATAGGTTTCCAAGTCCTGTAAATATGATATAGAACATTCTTTTCCATGAAAGTAATAACGTTTCAAGATGTCTTTGGTGGGATGGCATGGCTTTCTACATGTGCAATGCTTGAGGACTCCCTGGGAGATTTTTTGCGGCTGAAAATTTCAGAGGCAGTGCAAAAATGTATAGACTTCACATGTGCATTGTATTTTTTTTCTTTTTTGGGTTTAATGTAGTTTCTTGTGTACATATGTATTTTATGTCTAGTTATAATTTCTTTGTTTTCATATGTATTATTTTGCAAGGATCCTGCGAGGTCTAAGTTTTGCACATTTAGATCCTGCGTGATCTCTGACTTTATTAAAAGGTAGGTGTAACAGCTACTCAAGTTGTAATAATTGTATTTTCACAATGTAAATAAACTTCAACTTTACCCATCCATGTCTCCGCCTGGCACTAATTCATTTTATGTGAATGGTTCTGTGAACCATTTATCCTTTCTGACAATATCATTCTACATTTTCTTCACTATAATATTAGCATAAGTGAGAGTTTCTTGAAAAGCATGCTATTTGTTGAAACATTGCTAAAATTGATGAGTATAAATCTGTATTTAGCAATCGTTTGTGATTATAAACAGAGAAAAAGGGAAATCATTGGGGGAAGCCAAGAGGACCACCAAGAAAAAGGGAAATCAGTGAAAGGGAAATCATTGCTAAAATACATCCACCAAGATCTCTTCTTTTTGTGCAAAAGATGTAATTTAATTACAATAAAAGATCAAAATCTAACCTTTACATACCTTTTGGGGGAAGCCAAGAGGAAGAAGATGAAGAAGGAAGGACGTTTTTTGCTGGGAAGTCGGCGGGAGCTAGAATTACCGCCAGCTTGAGGAAACCCTTTCACGCGGGAGCTAAAATTAGGAAGTCGGTGAAGAATCGGTTGAATATAGGAGAAGAATCGGTTAGGTTGAGAGGAAGAATGAGCTGTGTGAAGATAGGAGAAGAATCTGGAGTTAGAAAAAATATTTCGGGAATCATTTTTTCCGTGGACCCCACCCTAAAAATCACTTCCGCCGTATTTCATAGCATTGGAGGTCAGAAAAATATTAAGAAAATAGAGATGCCAGCTAGATGACACGTCAGCTTTTAAGGAAGTAGCGGAAGTAGCTTTTACGGAGAAACAAACAACATTTTTAATATGGAAGTAACAAAAATAGGCTCTACTTCCTCTACTTCTGCTACTTCATAGTTACTTCAGTATAAACAAACAGGCCCTAAATACAAAAATGCTAAGAATCCATCGTGAAGGTATAAATCGTGCTAAAACATAACATCATTAAATAAAAAATACAATTTTAGATCAAGTTTTGACTAACTTTTGTATTAGAATGTCTGTAACAGGTCTGCTTTTGTCATAAAAAGATTACTTTCGCATCAGTAACTGAAAAAACAAAAAAGAACAGATTACGACCGTTCATTAATTGAAAACATTCACATCTTTTAATGGCAAAGTGAATAGTTTCCCCCACTTGTCTGAAGCCCGACCAGCCTGTTCAAGATAACATTAGCGGGGCCAATTCATTATATATATATATATATATATTATATATTATATAATATATGTTATTAAAATTTTATATAATATTATAATATATAATTTATAGTATTCCAAATCCCAAAATATTGATGAAACAAACAAAATATTACAAGTTTTAGCATTCCAAATCCCAAAATATTGTTGAAGCAAACACAACCCCCTTTATGGATTTCAAATCCTAAAAGCCACATCATTTATGGATTTCAAATCCCATTTTGAAATCCCAAAAAAAAAAAATCAAAACAAACACCCCCTTATCGTGTACAACGTCGGCTAACTGGGCCCGTTCCAGAACCTTTTTAAATATTTACGCGCTTTTATTTTCTGCGCATAGCTTCACATCTTTTGGGTTTTTAGATCTCAACCCCTTACATTATGAGTAATCTGTCCAAGGCCCTTACTTTTTCATATTTTGATATTAGCCCACCAAACAGCTATGATATGTTGATATGAGCCCCTACGGTTCGGTCCATATTTTGATATTAGCCCCTCAAATAGCCATGATGTGTTGATATGAGCCCCTCATATCAACACATCATAGCAACTTGAGAGGCCAATCAAAATATGGAGATTTAAGGGTTGAATACAAATTACCTTCAATGTAAGGGGCTAATATCTAAAAAAGCCCAAACAATTTTTCTTTCCACAGTATCACATCATTCTGATGCTAGACCATCATCTCTAAAAACACGCTCCCCCGTAGTGTTGGGCGCGGGCCGAGTCGACCCGCAGGGCTAACCCAGCCCACCTTAACATGGGTTATGACCCCGCCCGGCCCGTAGTGGGCCGGGTTCGACCCGGCCCGTGTCATACGCGGGTCACGAATCGACCTGGGTCCAGCTCCAAACTCGGGACGAGAGAAATTGGCCCGGCCCACTTTGACCAGGCCCACCGTCAACCCGGCTCGCCCCACAACTACCATGTTCTATCTACGGTGACTAGAGATATATTAACTCCCCATGCTTCCACAGTCGCAACAGAAAATGCTCTTTTAACAGGCGGGAGAATCCTTTCCGAATGGAGAACATAACTTACAACAACAAACATGGAGGTGTGTGTGCTTAAAGGACTGGATCGATGCATAAGAACGATTACAAGGACAATAAATAAGACATTGAAGAATTTGACAAATATAACTTGGTGTAATTCGACTCTTTGAATATTAATTGTTAACATTTTTTCCTTTTTTCCTCTTATAGTTGTAATTTAAATTTAAACTAAAGAAAAGTTATTAATTTCTCATGCACGTAGGTCTTCCATCGAAGTCCGAACCACGTATATTTTTGTATTTGTGATGTTTTATCTTTGTACAATGTGTCCCCCTGTGTCTGTATGTATGTATATTATTTTATATAAAAAGTAAAATAAGAAACAATTTAAAATTTATTTAATATTTACAAATATATAGTTAATATAGTTTATAAACTAAAAATAAAAAAATTAAAAAACTCAGGGGCTGACACGACCCATGGATCGTGAGACCCTACCCGGTCTTAAACCCAATGGGCCGAGTCACGGGCCTGAACCGGCCCATCCCATGCCCATCCCTGCTCCCCCGCTTCCCCTTCCTTCACCATCAACAGCTCTCTTCATTTGTAGAGCTGGTGATTAGCGACTTCGAGCATCTAATTTAGGTTTTTTTTTTTTTTTGATTTGTCTCCTCTATCGGTTATTTAAACTCCAAAGTTTTTGATTCTGTTTTAACGTTTCCTCTTGATTTCCAGTGGAAGATCAGAGCTCAAATATGGCTTTTAATTATGCTTCGAGGTTGTGGAGGCAGCGAATTAGGGTTTGGTTCTCTCTCCTGTTCAAATTCGGCCATTCTATCGAGCAATTTCAACATCCAGTTTGCGATTGAAGCGAATCGCTGGATACTATAGTCAATCCATGACTAGGGTTTCACGATCGTGTCTACTTTCAAGTAAAAAAAAAAAGGGTCTGCTGTTGTCTTGATATCTTCCTAAGATGCTGCAGTGAGTTTTACTGCCCCTTTACTATTTTAGAGTTTGCAGGGTTCTGCGTGCTGATTTTTTCTGTTTCAATATTTAGCAAATGTGTCTCAAGGAGAGGGGGTGGAAAATGGCAGATTAACATGCTAATTCTGAGATTGATAAGCTGTCTGTCAGGAGCTGGAATTGAGGATCATCAGTCAGGTGGGTCAAGAGCAGCAGGGGATGAGAATTTAGAAGTTGAAGATGGAACCTGAGAGTTGCAGTTGGAAATTGGAAAGCGATTGGACTGATATGCAAGAGTTTGGACTGATACGCAAAGATTGGGGACTATTATGCAAGACTTTCAAAGTTCCAGAACTTGAAATAAATGCAAGTAGTGGCTGTATGCTGTTTTTCCATTGTTTGATGTCTTTTTTGCTGTTTGCTGTTTTTTCTGTTATTACAGTTGTGCACAAGTACTGTTGGTGCACGAAAGCAAACTTCTCAATTGAATTTGTATAAATTGGAAGATGTAAAAAGAAAAAGAAGATGAATAATAACAGGTTTTCTTCTTCTTCCAGTTACAACTATCTCTCTTTTCTTCCTCTCTCAATTCTCTCTTAAATCTATCTTCAATCTCTGTCAATTTCCTCTCAAGCTTCTTCAAAAATCTCAGCAATGGTCAGGGATGGACTCAGGAAGATGAATCGGAGTTCGCGAGCCTCACAATTGGTATCAGAGCAACAAGAAGCTGAGGCTAGTGCTGGGGAACTTCAAGCCTTCTCATTTCAAAAAACTTACCCCTGAAGATATATAGAAAAGGAGTCAAAACTTATGTTTTACCTGTGATGAGAAATGGCATAGGGGACATCAATGCAAGGGAAAACAATTATTTGTCTTGGAAGGAATCATGGAAGGTAATATGGAAAGAAATGAGGGTGACTCTGAGGAGGAAGGGGAAGATCAGGGGGCAATTGAGCTAGCTGAAAGTTTGGTGAAAGGAGCTCCATCAATATCCGTGCAAGCCCTTAGTGGAATTACTGCTTCCCATACAATTAGGGTGGTGAGTTACTACAAAAACCAAGCTGTTAGCATCCTAATAGACTCTGGGTCAACTCATAATTTCATCAATGCAAAATTAGTTAAGAAGCTGGGAATAACAGTGTCATAATCCAATAGTTTTGATGTATTAGTGGCCAGTGGTGAACTAATTAAAGGAGAAGGAGTATGCCAGGAAGTACCCTTAGATTGCCAAGGGGTGAAAATTCAAGTTAACTTGTTAGTCATGCCCATGGGGGTAGTCAGGTTGTACTGGGAGCTGATTGGATGAGAACCTTGAAGGATATAACTTCAAATTTTAATAAACTTCAGGTTACATTCATGAATGGTGGGGTCAAAAATACATTACAGGGAATACTTCCAGGTGAACTACAGTTGGTTGATGGGAAGACAATTGCCAAATCAGTCAGAGAACAGGAACAAGGATTTTTAATTCAACTATGCAGTGTAGGTTTACAAGAGTGCACTACAGGGAATGCAATTGAAGGAATACCTACAGATATACAAGAATTGATACATGAGTTTGAGGTTGTGTTTCAAGAACTACCTCATCTTCCTCCTAAGAGGGATGTAGACCACAAAATTCCTTTAGAAGAGGGAACAAAACCAATTTGTACCAGACCCTATAGACATGCACATTTTTTGAAGGATGAAATTGAAAAACAGGTGGAGGAGATGCTCAAAAAAGGCATTATTAGGGCCAGCAATAGTCCTTATTCTTCACCAGTGGTTATGGTAAAAAAATCTGATGGTAGTTGGAGGATGTGCGTAGATTACAGGTCCCTCAACCAAGCTACAATCAAAGACAAATTTCTCATTCCTGTCATAGATGAACTGTTGGATGAACTGCATAGGACAAAATTCTTCACCAAGCTTGATTTAAAATCTGGTTATCACCAGATCAGGATGCATGAGCCAGACATTCCTAAGACTGCTTTTAGAACACATAATGGTCATTTTGAGTTTATGGTTATGCCATTTGGACTTACTAATGCCCCTTTTACTTTTCAGGCTCTTATGAATGCTATTTTCAAAGATTTATTGAGGAAGTCCATCTTGGTTTTCTTTGATGACATATTGGTATACAGCAAAGAGTGGCGTGATCATTTACTCCATCTGAAACAGATATTCCAGATTATGAGGAGACACCAGCTGGTGGCAAAAATGTCCAAGTGCAGTTTTGGACAAAAACAAGTGGAGTATCTAGGACATGTTGTGTCACAAGAGGGAGTGGGTGTTGATCCTAATAAAATCAAAGCTATCATTGATTGGCCATTGCCAAAAATATTGAAAGCATTGAGGGGTTTTCTGGGCTTAGCAGGATATTATAAAAAATTTATCAAGGGATTTGGAGCAATAGCACAACCATTGACACAACTTTTGAAGAAGGGGGCTTTCACTTGGCATTCAAGTGCTGAAGAAGCCTTTGAAGCTTTGAAGATTGCTTTAACTAATCCTCCAGTTTTGGCCATGCCAAACTTCAACCTGACATTTATGATAGAGTGTGATGCATCTGGGTCAGGCATTGGAGCTGTGTTAATGCAAAATGACAGGCCTATAGTTTACTTCAGTTTTGCTCTAAAGGGAAGGAATGTCACTCTATCAACATATGAGAAAGAGCTTTTGGCACTCATTCTGTCAACAAGGAGATGGCAACAATATCTGTTGGGGAGAAAATTTATAATTAGGACTGACTATCAAAGTCTCAAGTATTTGTTGGAGCAAAGGATTCACACAGGTATCTAGAATAAGTGGCTTGCAAAGCTACATGGTTATGACTATAGGGTGGAGTATAAACCAGGTAGGTTGAACATGGCTGTTGATGGATTGTCTAGGATTTATGATGGTGAGGAAGGGGTCTAAGCACAATCCATTGAAAGCTCAGCACTCACCACTATTACCAGTGATTGGTTAGAGGAGATAAAGCACATGTGTTCCACTAATGATTTCTGTAAGGAGCTTGATGCAAAGCTACAACAAGGCCAATTGGACACTGAAAAATATCACAGGAAAGGGGGAATTTACTACTATAAGGGAAAATTTTTGATTAGTCCTCATGATCAACACATTAAATCCTCCTTATTAAGAGAGCATCATGACACTCCTACTGCAGGACACTCTGGAATCACTAGAACCTTACAGAGGCTGAGAAGGGCTTTCTACTGGAAGGGAATGAAAAGGGATGTCCAGGGGCATGTTCAAGCTTGTGACATTTGTCAAAGAGCTAAGGGAGAAAACATAGCATCACCAGAGCTCCTGCAACCTCTACCTATTCCAGATTATATTTGGGAAAACTTATCCATGGATTTCATTACTCATTTACCAAAAAGTGGAGATAAAAGTGCTATTTTTGTGGTGGTTGACAGGTTATCCAAGTATGCACATTTTTCTCACTTCCACATTCATACACTGCTCAATTAGTAGCTCAAGTGTTCTTTGAAGGGGTTTTCAAACTGCATGGCATGTCTAAATCTATTGTCAGTAATAGGGACCCTTTGTTTACAAGCTACTTTTGGAGAGAGTTGTTTAAGTTACAGGGAAGTCAGTTGAAATTCAGTTCTGCTTATCATCCTCAAACGGATGGGCAAACTAAAATTATAAACAAGACGTTGGAGGGCTATTTGAGATGTTTTTGTTGCCACAAGCCTAAGGAGTGGAGTAAATGGCTACCTCTTGTTGAGTTTTGGTTTAATACAACCTGGAAGATATCGACACATACTTCTCCTTTTGAGGCCGTTTATGGGAGACCACCCCCTTCTTTGCTTAGTTATGTGCCTAGAAGTTGTAAGGTTGAAACAGTGGATCGTTTATGGGAGACCACCCCCTTCTTTGCTTAGTTATGTGCCTAGAAGTTGTAAGGTTGAAACAGTGGATGAGGTTCTCTTTTCTAGAGACATAGCCGTTATGTGCCTAGAAGTTGTAAGGTTGAAACAGTGGATGAGGTTCTCTTTTCTAGAGACATAGCCTTACAATTTATGAAAGATAGTTTGAAGAAGACAGCTGAACAAATGAAGAAATTTACAGACACACATCGGAGCTATCGGAGTTTTAGTGTGGGTGATTGGGTTTTTCTCAAGCTTCAGCCTTACATGCAGATCAGTGTATCTTCTTGCAAACCTCACAAGCTTTATACCAAATATTATGGTCCTTACCAGATTTTAGAAAAAATTGGTGAAGTGACTTCCAAATTAGATCTCTCTGAACAGGCTAAGATCCATTCTGTATTTCATGTCTCTCAACTTAAAAAGAAGATGGGTGCTGATATTGCTCTTCAAAGTGATTTTCCCAGCTATGTGACTGAAATCATTGATGAACCTGAGGCAATTCTAAACAGGAGATCAGTCATAAAAGGAAATCATTTGGTTTCTGAAGTCTTAATCAAATGGAAGCAGAGGCCTTCAGTAGATTCTACCTGGGAACCCTATTAGGATCTGGTTAAGAGGTTTCCCTCATTTGACCTTGAGGCAAGGTCAAATTTAAGTGGGGAGAATTTGTCAGGAGCTGGAATTGAGGATCATCAGTCAGGTGGGTCAAGAGCAGCAGGGGATGAGAATTTAGAAGTTGAAGATGGAACCTGAGAGTTGCAGTTGGAAATTGGAAAGTGATTGGACTGATATGCAAGAGTTTGGACTGATACGCAAAGATTGGGGACTATTATGCAAGACTTTCAAAGTTCCAGAACTTGAAATAAATGCAAGTAGTGGCTGTATGCTGTTTTTCCATTGTTTGCTGTCTTTTTTGTTGTTTGCTGTTTTTTCTGTTATTACAGTTGTGCACAAGTACTGTTGGTGCACGAAAGCAAACTTCTCAATTGAATTTGTATAAATTGGAAGATGTAAAAAGAAAAAGAAGATGAATAATAACAGGTTTTCTTCTTCTTCCAGTTACAACTATCTCTCTTTTCTTCCTCTCTCAATTCTCTCTTAAATCTATCTTCAATCTCTGTCAATTTCCTCTCAAGCTTCTTCAAAAATCTCAGCAATGGCCAGGGATGGACTCAGGAAGATGAATCAGAGTTCCGAGCCGCACACTGTCATAGCCGTGCTTGTATGTGTGCGCGTGGTTTCCTGAATTTTAATGCTCTGGTTTATGTAACCAATTCTGGAAATATAGGAATTTCTAGTTCTTGAAACTAAACAGTTTAGTATTGACGAAATTTTCAAAATCGCCTCAACAAATTTTTTTTAAAGAAATAGACCCCATTCACTTTTAATTATAGAAATCGACCCACTTTGAGTTAATTGCGGTACTAATTAGTCGGGGTTGCCAACCCCGACTAATTAGTAGCGTAATTACAACCGGGGTCAAGGAGCGGGGAAGGTTTTGCGGCTGTTAATGTACTTATGTTTTTGTCATTTATGATACAGGTTGCTGCTACCCATGCTATGAGTGACAATCTTTCAAACCATTTACCCTTCTTCTTCAACCTGCTGATTCTAATATATAGAGAACCTTATCTGTGAAAGTCTGCTGAAGCCATCGATTCCGCTGTTAGCAATATAATTGGTGCTGGGTTTTCGATATTATAATACTTCCGCCTTGGAATACCTTGACGAGGTATGGTTTAACTTTAGCAAATAGACCATTTTATTGTTTTCCCGTTACACTCGGTTGTTTATCTAGCAAATCTGGTGAATGCATCATATGCGATCTAGCTTCTAGACTGCTACTTGGTGAGAACAATTTAGCTGAGAAGTGGTCACATTTTCTAAACTATTTCTGCTATTAGTTTCAAGAAAGAGTAGTGATAGGAAGGTTTTATCCCATAATACGATGCTTTCTAAATTACTATGATGTTTTTTTTTTAAAAATAAAGTGTTATCCCAGTAATGCTGTATATGCTTTAACTAATGATAATAGTAATGCTATGTCAAATTCAAACCCTGAGAAGTATAACCATTGAAATGTTAGCTTGCTCTTATAAAAGGAATCTATGTTTAGTTCTGTACAGGAATAATGTTGAATCGGGTTGTGTGTGGATGAAGGGTTGTATATAACTCAAAATTTTGAAAGCTTCTGTACGCATTCAAAAAAAAAAAGGAAATGTTTTGGCCGTGCTTTGGAAATTTTATGGCTAAAAAATAGGAGTATTTTGGCAATATGATGCTGCTAAGATCGCTCCTGGATAGGATAATTCATAATTGTCTATGCGGAAATGTGTAGAGGTGCCATGTTAGCTCACAATTGTTTCAATCAAGAAATATTCTTTCTTGAATCATAACAGATGAATTCTGCTTGAAATTGATGATGAGAGGTTTGCATTTGTTTGTAATAAATAATAACTGTTGGTTTCCTCCAAATGTGAATGAGATGTCACTCAAAAAATATTATTAAACTGCGGGTCATGTTGTAATACTTGTTAAATAGGTAAGCAATTTGAGGCTGTAGTGATGAAACTCTTGTATATAGATTGCTGATCCTGCTACTACTATCTTAGCTGCTGATGGAAACGCTGTCTTTTTGTGCAGATTGTGATGAATGGTCAGTTTGGTAATTGTATTGAAGAGGAAGTTTGGAAACACGCGATGATCAGCAAAGTAAACTGAATGCATTGAAGAAATACACAAGGCTTATAGTTGAACTGTAGAGGATCTTGTTGCAGCTGGAGGTAAGGCTCTCTTTTTACTGCTGATTGAGATTTTATTCCTTCATATTTATCAAAAACTTTATTCATTCTTCCCCAGCTACAAATTGATTCTAGCTGACAAATACTGCTGGCATTTGAAATTGTTTTCTTAATGTATTTGTTATAGTTTTTTTCTCCTCAAATTCTGTACTTGTTGTAGCTAATTGGTCATATTAATTGATTGGATTTAAGGAGGCTTGGGAATTGGGAAATTGACGCACAGGAGGCTGGCAAACTTTCTTTCTTTTTTTCCCCCTTGTGCTGTTTTTGTAGGAGGCTGGCAACTTAAATATCTAATACAGCGGTATTGTTATGGTACATTTCTTAATTTCAACTCTATTACAGATAGAAGTTGAGTCTTAAACATTAGCAATCCTTGATATGACTTCATGTTGTCTTTGATGCACTATGGGAATCTCTTATTGGGTGATAAGGGATCGTAAAGAAATCCATAAGGATTTGGGACCATCTACAAGGGAACAAAACACGAGTCTTCAACATTTGCAATCCCTTTTATCTCCTTGTTGTCTTTGACGCACAACAGGTAATTTGTGAAGGGAGGAATAACGGATTGTAAGAAATTTGCTGACTTATTCTTTAATTCTCAAACCACCGAAGGAAGGAAAGTAGAAACTTACTTTGATGTAGCTTTATGTGATCAATCAATCAATGAATATGAGACCAGTAGGGCCTCGAATGCTTTCATGTTCGATCAGGTTTATTCCTGCGGTTTGATGAATATCATCTTGATTCATCCAATTCACGACCTCTTCTCTAATGGTCTCATATGATGATTTTATCTTTGTAGGCGTGTGTCCCTTTGTATGCTGCCAAAAATAGTGGAGATGGAGCAGCTTCTCTGTTGATCCTTGGTAAGTGATTGATCTCATGATTTATCACCTCACAACTAATTCTGCCCTTCACAGATAGGCCTCTGTCAAATCCTAATCAAATTTCCTGTGATCATGTATTTGTGCAGGTTGCGGAGTCTTACCTCTAGTTTCCATCATGATAAAGATTGTATTACAGTTGGATAAAAAGATACAAATGTCTGAAGAAACATTTATTGTTTCTGGAAATACAATTAGAACTACATATATAAAATAACTATCAAGGAGTCTCTCTTTCCGAAAAGGGGAAGGCTCTAGTTCATCCTAGAAAGAGAAAGAAGAAATCTTACAAATACATGCAGGTTGTGGAGTCTACTAGTTTCCATCATGACAAAGGTTGTATTAGGGTCTGTTTACTTAAAAAAGATTGGAAATGTGTTGCCACCTCAACTTTCAAGAAATGAACAAGTGCCACATGGGTCTTTGTTTTCAAGAGTTTTCTATTTCTCATGTTTGTTTCGTTTTTAACTTTCAAGAAATGAAGTGCCACGTAGGATGCCACATCACAATTTCAAGAAATGTGTTTTCACAACAAAAACCTCTGAAAACACCGGGAAATACCACTTCTTTGAATTATTAATTAGTAAAAGCACTATTGGAATAGTGAAGAAGAATAAAACATAATATTTAATACCCTGATTTCTCATTTCCTTTTTCTTGTTCTCAAACAAACATAAGAAATAGAAATCAATGCACTGTTACTATGAAGGTTTTTTTTTGTCTATTTGTGTGACTTGGCAGTGAAATGTGGAGTTTTTTTTGCGAAACAAACCAAAAAAAAAAAGTGGGAAAACTCTTGAAATGTGCTGAAATCATTTCAAGAGGGAGTTTTCCATTTCCGAATTTTTTTTTTGAAATAACCAAACAGGCCCGTATAGTTGGATACCTTACCAGTACACCCCCCACACTGCTTTTTCTTTACTACCTTCAAGTTAAGTTATATATATATATACTAGTATTCATCCCGTGCTAAGCACGGCATCCTTACAAATTATTTTTGTGCGTAATTTTTTCTTATCTTTTTTTTTTGTCATGATAAATATATCTTAAACATAATTGAAGTCCATCATATATAACTAATGAGGATATGCAGATAGTTAAAATATAGGTAGGAAACAACTATAACAGATTCCATGACTTCAAAATCAAACAAAAAGGGATGGACAAAATATGGACTGCTGTTATATGCGCATCCTGTTGCCCTTTCTCCCCTATCAAAAAACTTTTTCATCTTGTGACTTCTACTACCACATCAATCTCATACAGGTCGCCAACATTCTCATTCCTTCAACCCACCAACCCCCTCTTTTCTCTTACAATCATCAACTTAATAAGTTTAACCATGGTGAGATGCAACAAATGACTTACATTTTTACCATCAGTAACCACATAAGGAGCCTCCAGACTACTCATGAACAAATGAATGGCTAGATTATTACGGAACGATATCTGTACATGATGTGCACCAAGAGGGTAGATTGTCTTTTAACCATGAAGAACCTTCTGAGGATCAAACTGTCCGCTACAATAACTGGAATTCCCTTCCAATCCTCAAGACTACTCATCCCTACTCCTCAACGACAACATCCGCCTTCAAATCCTACGCCAAGTGGGCTTTTTATTGCAACTCTCAAGCCAACAATCACCGCCGCCTTCAATCTCACGCTGGATCAAAGAGGATACCGAAGCTTGGATCATGAAAGTAGGAGAAAAAAAGTAAAGTATATTACTGAAAATAACAAATCAAATTAACCTCTTACCCACTGACATCCACTCTGGAGATCTAATTGTGCATTTTCCATGTTTCCTCAGAGTCACAGCAAGCCAAAGCGGCATCTTGGTCGCAATTTGCGGGAAAAAAGGACCGTAATCCCCTGATAATCGCCAAAAAACCCAATAAATGTCATAAACAACATAATATAATTAAAAGTTAATACATTATAAGGGATGAAATTACGCAGATCGTGTTTAGGGCTTCCATTCTAATATTGGGAACAATTTCTATCATCTCATCCTCTGCAAGGAACTCTACCTAAAGGAGGAAAAGAACAATTTTAGACTTCATATTGAACATACACAAATCACCCTAAACTTTATGAATCATAGAAACCCCCTCAACTTTCAAAACTATACTAAAACCCCTTAGTGCTATTGGAAATTCCCATAAATCGTGTTTAACATGTATCGAGTAAAAAGTCTATACTCTCATTTGGACCTTTGGTGTTTACATTGCAGAAATATGTAGGAGGTGAGTTCAGACACTGAACCGTCTCTAGCAAGCATGCATCATCAGCAAGATCCTGAACATAAATCATATACAAATCATACATCTACTTCTGGCAATCCTAGAATCAATATGAGACATCAGACCAAATCATAATTATAGAAAAATTACTATTGTAAGCATCACAATAATTTCAAGGAGAAAAAGACCAAAAATAAGAAATCAAAAGAGACCTGCGCTGTAAGATGTAGGAAGATCTTTCTGCAGATCCTTCAGTTCCTTCAAAATCTTCTTCGAAGCCATTGATCACTCACTGATCGATTGGTAATGTATTTTTCTCCCTTTATTTTATTAATTACCCACATTCAAGTTATTAATAACTTTTGTTGTTTATTATGTTCATCATCTAAACACCAAAATCAGAAACTTCAGACGGCATAATGAAATGTAATAGCTTTATGCAATATGACACCAAAACATTACCATAAATCCATGAATCAATGGCAATTAAAAGCTGCAGGCACCCCAAAAAATCCTAAATTTCCAAAATCATTAAAGAAATGAAATAACCACAATTCCAATTTTCCGAATCCAACACAATCACGAACAAAAGTTAACCGCTCCGGCAATCGGACAAAACCCCAAATTCAAAAATAGTCCACCAAAACATAGCAAAATCAACGAAATGACGATTCAAGAACAGGGGAAAGAAGAAGAAAAAGCCAAAACCTTTTATAATCTTGAGCTTGTTGAAAATATCCTGAAGAACCTTGTAGTTCTGGATCATCTTGTACTCGTTCTTCGCATCGAAATTCACCTTGTGCATCGGCACCATCCCCGTATGAACCGCGTCCATGAGCTGGCCGTGGACCGCACCCGACGCAGCCTGAAATCACAATCGATTCCACGAAGAAATTACCAAATCGTTCAGAATCCGAATCATTTCGAGAGAAAATTTTGGTACCTCTTCGACTTTGGAGAGATTGAGATGGAGAGTGGAGTTGATCCAGGCGAGGATCTCGTTCCGGCTGGCGAAGTAGGCTTCATCCATCATTCCGATATTCGTCGCCTAAAATTTTTTCGATGTTCCGGTTAAATGAGGGAGCGGGGACAGTGGGATGAAGAGGGAGAGAGAGAACCGCTCCCAAAACCGCTCATTCGACGTTACCGATCCAAAACCACTCTCAGGCGAAGACGAATCCATGTCCCTAATAAATCTCTCCTGCTCTCCATCATCATCATCATCATCATCATCATCCTCTTCACGCGCTGATCCCCTCCAATCATCGCTACCAAACTGATCACCTCCAAGCCCTAGCTCCCCGCTTCCAAAAATTCCATCCTTCAGATTTCGATTTAGGCGAAAGAGGAAATTGATGAGCAACGTGATAAAAGACGGTCGTGGGAAATTGAGTGGGGGAAGTTGAGGCAACTGCAAAACGATTGAGCGGGGAGTTGGGAGCACAAAAGACGGTCGTGGGAAATTGAGAGAATACGTGGATATTGAGAAATGTTACTGTTCACCATATGGTTTTCCTTTAGTTATAAAGGAAAGTAGATATATTTGTCCATCCAAACATGCCAATAGTGAAGACAAGATCCTTAGAGATGACCTTGAATGATGTTATTTAAGCTCCACTAAGCTGTACAGGAAGCCGTTAAGTCCAGCCATGCATATTCCTTGCCTAAATAAACATTCTGTTGAACTCATAAAATCAAGGATGATGGCAATCTACATACAAAATAAACAATACGATTTAATCACTGATCTCTGTGCTTATTGATTGATGATATTGAGCAGTAGGTATTTAGTGCACACACCAATTGAGCAGTAGGTATACAAGATTCAAGTGCAATATTTAGTGCTGAGAGATGTACAAGATTCAAGATTCCATTACCAGCATCAACAATGTGGAAGACAAAACTCCACCCAAACATAACAGTTAATTTGCAAAATAAATTCATTTCATATTACATAAAATAACTTATTAGAGAAGTTTATTAGCCCTGATGGCTAAAGGATACTCCTTGTTCACCTAATTCAAGAATCTATGATCAAAGATCTACAGTTCATTAATCGTTGAAGCTAACGAATTTGTTCCCCTAGTTCTTGCTGCTCCTTCAAAGTTTTGGGAGCCTCCATGACTTTTCTGAGCTTCGACAGCAATGCCTTCTTCAGCTTCTTGCTGCTAATGCTGTTGGGCTTCTTGTAGTTCTGTTGCGGTGCTGGAGGGAATGCCCCGGCGCCGGAGGGCTTCCATGAGTGAGGAAAGGAAGAATTGGAGGGTAGCGTCGTCTTCGATAGTGGTGACGATCTACAGGCAGCCGTGGTGATGGCGTAGGGGTGGTTGTGATGATGTAGCCACGGTGGTCCGATGTGCGGTGGTCATGGGTACGGGGGCGCTGGCGGTGGTCGCGGCTCAATTGTTGCTCGCTCGAGGAGGCGGCTTCTAAGAGAATGTCACAATGAGAAGAAGAGTCATCCATTGTCGCGGACGATGGAGGAGTCGTCGGCGGAGGAGGCGGAGTCGCGGCCGATGGAGGAGAGAGCTTGGGCGGCGGAGGAGTCGTCGGAGAGAGATTGGGCGGAGGAGGAGGCGTCGCGACCGATGGAGGAGCTGTTGCGACGGAAGAATCGGCGGCGGAGGCGGAGGATAAGTGGCCGATGGAGGAGAGAGCTTGGGCGGCGGAGGAGTCGTCGGAGAGAGATTGGGCGGAGGAGGAGGCGTCGCGACCGATGGAGGAGCTGTTGCGACGGAAGAATCGGCGGCGGAGGCGGAGGATAAGT